TTAACCCAGAAGAACACAGAGGTCTAGCCAGTACTCACACGTACCTGATTCTTTATTGGTAGCAGCTAGAACTTTGCATCAACATGTTTGTTACTAATCAACAAATATTTGTTGAGTGCCTCGTCTTTATCAGATATTGAGGTATAACGAAGGAACTTCTAACCAATTTGTCATGTCTTAGGCAGACGGATGATAGATTATGATTCACAAACTTTGGAAGTCTCAAACATTTTGTGCTATGGAAGTTTTAAAGACTTCATTTCTTCATTTTCATCAACTATGAATGTGCAAAAGGATTGTAGAGTGGGGAAAGACTCCCCCAACCCCAATCCAAGTTCTCTGGGCCTAGAATGAACGATGATAGAAACAAGAAATTTGAGTAACTATGATTAAGCCAAGTCAAAAACACAAAAAGGTGGCCCTTAATTACCCGAGTGCTTCTGTATTGATTAGTTGTTGAAACTGAAAGGCCAGGGCAGAGCTTTCTTTCACATTCCTGGGATCTGAATTTACATGTCTGGTGTCTGTGTTCAGAGCATAGTTGAAACTTGCTTGTCATTTGCCTTATCTCTTCATCACCAACAACTTGTCTGTTGGGGGAAGAATAGAGGCTCAGTGTCTTATAGAGGCGAAGGGCCTTCAAAGGCATCTCTCTTGCTTCTTTTTCTAGCAAGTGAGATCCACAGAGGAAAAGCACCTCCTCACTCTCAATGGCCACCCCTCCCTAACCAGCACCCACTCCCCACCAAATGCACAGCCTGCTGTGGGCAGAGTCTGAGACAACTGGAGCCCTGTTTTCCTGCCTCGGTTATATTGATTTGTCCTGGGTTTTAAAACCAGTGTACTGTTGATCTAGAAGGTAACCGATAAGAACAAGTTTTAAGACAAATTTTTGGATTTCTATTCAGACAAAATTAAGAAATTGTTTCTAGACTCTGGGACAACTTACTTCTAAACATAAAATTCAAGCTTCTGAGGAGTTTCTAAGCTTGAGGAAAAGAGATATTTCAGCTTTACCTTCTCAAAAGAAAAAGACTACACCAATGAGGCACATCTTACACAATCTAAAAAGAGTGCAGCAATGCAGTAAATTTGGCGCAAATTACCTGGACTCAGTAATTTTCTTGCCAGATCCAACTGTGTGAAAACTATCCTTCCATGCTCTAGCCTCAGTTTATCCACCTGTAAACTGAGATAATGATATTAATAATATCTTCCCCAATTAAATATATGGTTAATAGATTGGTGCCTGGCACATAGCAGGCAGTTCTTAAACTTAGTTGTTTTATTTTAATTTGGTTAAGGGCCTGTAAACAATGGGCTACCCCTAATTATTTCTGGTACAAAAATACCTTATAAGAAAGAAAGTAGGAAAAGCATAAGAAATCAGGATGATACAATTTGATTATGCTAAATTTTTCTTTCCCCTATTATAATGCCATTGACCAAACCATCACCGATTTGGCTGCAAGAAGCCTGAGAGGCCATTCAGGCAATCCTGCTGTTTTAGGAAGTAGCATGAGATTCACAGAAGGTCTGGCAATTATTATTTTTGAGAGCTTTCAATAATTTGGCTTTATTGCTAGTGTTCTTAACTATCAGGGACAGGGGCTTGCAGTCTACTAGCAGTGGCCATTCTTGACACTCAGTACCATGAAACAAGATATCACTGGAGAATGACAAAATTTGGGGCATTTAAGTGGATCATGGACCAGAACGTAAATAATTTATTTCAATTGTTAGAAAGTCTTTCAGCTAAAAGTATTCTAGTAGAAAAGAAAACTGGGTGTCTATTTTCTGAGTTTCATTGTGCATTCCTAAATTCCATTGCTAAGCCCATTTAATGGCTTAAAGGGTTCATTTGTGTTTGTGTTGGTGGTGGTCACAGCAATAGAATTTCTGATTCAGATTTATACAAAAAATAAGAAATTTTCGGAACAGAGGGATAGTATAGCAGCTAGAGTATTTGTCTTGCATGCTGCTGGCCCAGGCTCAATCCCTGGCACCCCATCTGATCCCCAAGCACCGCCAGGAGTAATTTCTGAGCCCAGAGCCAGGAGTAACTCCTGAGCATCTCTGGGTGTGACCCAAAAAGCAAAATAAATAAATAAATAATTTTTAAAAAGGAATAAAAAATTCCCTCCTTACTTGCATGAGATCCCCTGGCATTTCTTCCGCTAGCTCCCACAAGCTAAAATGACTGAGATGGCCTTAGCCTTATCAAGCACCCAACAGAGCCAAAGTAGCAGCCAAGATTCCTTTTGTCTTGCAGGGTCCCACATCCAGCAATGCTGAGGGCTTCCTCCTGGTTCTGCATTCAGGAATCACTCCTGGTGGTTCTTAGGGGACCATCTGGAATGCTGGGACTCAAACCCGGGTCTGCCACACTCAAGGCAGGCACCTTACCCACTATACTATCATTCCGCCCCCTCGCAGCCAAGTTTCAGTGGGTCATGACCTCACTTTTCAAGGCAGTAGGATGAATGAGCTGAGGAGATAATGAGATGACACTGTTTTGTGAGTGACTTCACTTAGGTGTGTATTGTTCTTTTATATTGTGAAACAAATAATATATTCAAGCTCTTATAAGTCATGCATGTGCAACTAAAAGGAAAATGATAAAATGAATTTTCAAGTACCAATTACCTTATTTTTAATTACTTTTTTATACTGGTTTTATCAAAACTCCTTGAGTCTATATGTATACAGCATATCATATATATTTTGTGTATGTATTCATATGCTTATATGTGTAATCATATATGTACTTTTTGAAGTTTGGGAAGTGTCAAATATGTTTATATGTCATATGTATCTATGGTCACGGTCACGGTCCTCCCATTGTTCATTGATTTGCTCGAGCGGGCCCAGTAACGTCTCCATTGGAGATTTTGTTGTTACTGTGTCTGGCATATCGAATACGTCACGGGGAGCTTGCCAGGCTCTGCCGTGCGGGCGAGATACTCTCGGTAGCTTGCCGGGCTCTCCAAGAGGGGCGGAGGAATTGAACTCGGGTCCGCCACGTTGGCTGTGTGCAAGGCAAACGCCCTACTGCTGTGCTATTGCTCCAGCCCATATGTATCTACATACAAAGAAATATTTACTTACATAAAATAATATTTTAAAAGAGGTAAGCAATTTGACCAAGGTCACACAGTCACTAGGGGCAGATCTGGACTTGAAACAAGATTTTTCTTTTTTTCTAACTTTTTAATTATTTTTAGTTTTGGTACCATGTCCAGATGTGCTCTGGTTTCCTTCTGGCTCTGTGCTCAGGGATCATGGCTGGCAGGCTCAGGGGACTATATGGAGTGCTGGGACTTGAACCCAGGTGTGCAACATGCAAGGCCAATGCCTTACATAACCATGTCTCATTGTCTAATCTCTCATACCTATATTCACCCCTCCTCAATCTTTAGTACACTGCCTAGTATATGATTGACCTTCAGTAAGAATTGGAGGTAGGGCTGACTCCATGATAAATTTCAAGGTAAAACAAGGGCCACAAATCGAGGTGTGATAGAGCCCTCTGAAGAACTAACAGTGTCCTACTTTACCCAATCGTGTGTTCAGTGACATCTCACGGAATTCTAATATAAGCTGACGTGGGAATATTTACACCATGGAAATTGGCAAATGGTATCAATCAGGACACTCAATCCCCTCCTTAATTAAGAGTGAAATTACTAAAATCCCACCCTTGCCCTCCATAACTAAAAAAGATCTGAGGTTTAGGACTGAGAACAGTTGTAAGGTCAGGTAATAACAAAATTTTCAGTGAATTGAGGGATTTATTGAGACTACAAGTAGTTAGTATTTCTCAAAGTAGTCCCTGGGAATTACATTGTGGATGCTGAGTCCTAACCTCCACAGAGACTCCTGTTCAGAATATATGTGCTGGGTACTGGAAATCTATATTTCAAAGCATTCCAGTGATTTTGAGACATATTAAAATTTTAGTACTAGTACTAGTTCATTGTTTCTCCCACTTTGTTGAGCAGACAAGTAACCTTTGGTTATCTCATTGAATTGTAGATTCTGATTCAAAAGGTGTGACTTGGGCCTTTCAGATGCTGTAGATCCTTACACCATACTTATTGTAGGAAGAGTGGTATCTACTATTCTTATTAAAATTTTCTTTTATAAAAATATTATTATAGTTTAAGTAGCCTGTTTACAATTATATCAGTGTTTCATTTTGATGTACATAGTTGCTGCACCTCATCACCACCAAGATGTCAGAGACCCTCGATCGATGTTTTTATGTTACCTCTGACCCACTTCTTCCTTCTCCTCCCTCCTCACACCGCCCTTTGGAATGTAATACAAGATCCAAGGCTTTTCATTTTTGATACTATTTTCTTCTTTTGTTTCTATACCACAGATTATGAGATCACCTGATATTTGTCTTTTTTCCTCTGACTTACCTTGCTTGATAGGATTCCCTCCAGTTCCATCTGAGTTGCAGTGAACTATTACGTTTTATATCTATCGTTGGACATTTGAATTGCTTTATATGTACTAAGTGCTTAGAGCTATCTTACTTAGAAACATCGTGAACGTAGGTGTACTTATATATTATTTTAAATTAATGTTTTTGTGTTTGGGGTAGATGATAATAAGTAAAATTGCTGAGCTATGGAAGCTATTTTAAGAAAAAAGTTCGTTTATTGGAGAACTCTTCACACTGTTTTCTGTAGAGGCTGATCCAGAAAGCATCCTCACCAACAGTGAACAAGGTTCCTTCTTTCCTACACCCCTACCAATTCTCCCTTTACAGATGAGAAATCATAGTATGGCAAAGTTAAGTGATTTACACAGTTCACTAACAGCCGTTTCTTGAATATGGTGAGGAAAATTAAAATCAAACACAAACGATCACTGTCCTCCCATTGTTCATTGATTTGCTCGAGCGGGCCCAATAATGTCTCCATTTTGAGACTTGTTGTTACTGTGCTTGGCATATCGAATACGTGACGGGGAGCTTGCCAGGCTTTGCTGTGCTTTCTTTGGCAGCACATATACTAAAATTGGAACGATACAGACAAGATTAGCATGGCCCCTGCACAAGGATGAGGAAAGTTACAGACATTAAAAACCATTTCTCTTCTATGTAGTGATAAAACAGGACTATTTATTAAACACTTTTATGAGGGAGATATTATATTACAAATATTAATAATGCATGGACTGGGCCCTCAGATTGCTTATAATCTGGGTAGGCAACAAGTTGTTTAGTTTTTGAAGTAAATATAGGACAGCAGGAGGTGAGGTATAGTCAAATAACTGATTTCTTTCTTATTGTAATATCTCAAACAAGAAATATAAACTTTCAAGAGCTTTGGCTTTTCCTGTATGACAACTGTAGCGCTGTCCTCCCGTTGTTCATTGATTTGCTCGAGTGGGCCCAGTAACGTCTCATTGTGAGACTTGTTGTTACTGTTTGGCATATTGAATATATCACGGGTAGCTTGCCAGGCTTTGCCGTGCAGGCGAGGTACTCTTGGTAGCTTGCCGGGCTGCCTGAGAGGGGTGGAGGAATTGAACCCCACTCGGCTGGGCCGGCGGCACTCAAGGTAAATGCCCTACCACTGTGCTATTGCTCCAGCCCCTGTATAAAAACATGTGGCTCAAAGTCAGACATTCCTAAAGAATATCTAGAGTTAGAATTCTATGAAATGTAAAAATGTCTTTCTGCTTGTTTATCAAAGGCTGAAAACTAATAGCATATAAATTACTTATTGACTATAGATTTTGACATAGTTTTTAAGAAAATAAGTTCTATTTTATAAACAGTCACTTTAAATAAACATTGGGGTGGGGATTGGGTCACACGTGGAAGTGCTTAGGGTTGGCTCAGTACTCAAGGATCACTTCTGGTAGTGCTCAGACGACCATATGTAGTGCTGAGGATTTAATCAGAGTCAGTCAAGTATAAGGCAAGCATCATAACTGCTGTATGTAACTCCTATACTCTGGCCCTTAAATAAATATTTATTTTAGAGAAGTTTATATTGACAGAGAAGTTACAAATCTAGAACAGAGAATTCTCCCCATTCAGTTTCATTGCTCGAGCGGGCCCAGTAACGTCTCCAGTGTTGTTACTGTGTCTGGCATATCGAATACGTCACGGGGAGCTTGCCAGGCTCTGCCGTGCGGGCGAGATACTCTCGGTAGCTTGCCGGGCTCTCCGAGAGGGGCGGAGGAATCGAACTCGGGTCGGCCATGTTGGCTGCATGCAAGGCAAACGCCCTACCGCTGTGCTACCGCTCCAGCCCATTAAACAGTGTCAAAATGGAGACATTAATATTAGAAAATCACTATTAAACTCCAAACTGTGTTGAATTTTACCAGGTTTTAAATTTTTTCATGTCTCCCACAACTCTTTAATCTATGACAGTCTCTATTTTCCCTTGATTTTAAAAAAAATTTTATGACCTTGACAGACATAAGAGCTGAGTTGTGTCAGTCAGGTATTCTGAAAAATATTCCCTGGTTTGGGTTTGTGTGTTGTCTTTCTCATGGGTTTGGGGGAGGAATATGGCAAGGGGTTCCCAGTGTTCCTCCCTGTTACAGGGCAACCATATCACCAGAACACTTACAGCCTGAAACAGCAAGTGTTGAAGCTATAAGAGGCTAAAGTGGTCACTTGACTCATCTTAAAAAATTGTGGAGCAACCAACTTGATAAAATTGGGATACTAAAGAAAAAAAATCTATGCTTTCCATAAAATTCAGGACTTCTACTTCTCTTGAAAATTAGAAAACCTGACAGTATACTGAACTTGCAATGATATCCAGCAAAAATTGACTTGACCTGAGTGAGTTGATCACTTTTACTAGGGTCCAAATTTCTCAGTTCACTAAAGTTCCCATCTCTTGCACAATACACCTGTGCATCAGATTCCATCCAGTTTCCTCAGACTCCATTGTCTGGCTCCGCCTTAGGCAATTTGTTCTCATAGTATATATTAACTTAAATGTGCTATGAGACTTGGGAGAGAAGCAAGAAGGGGTGGGGCGCAGCCTGTGTGTTCCTGGAAAGGCTAATCTTCCCTTATATCCTCAAGCAAGTGTACCCACCACCTTGGTACTTGTTACAAATGCAAAGTCTTGGTATCATCCTAGACTAGACCTACTACATTAGAAACTCCGGAGGTGGCACTGCAATCTGTGGTTTACCCACCCCTGTAGGTGACTAAAACACAGGTTAGAATTGGAGAATCAGGGTGAAGAGGGCAGAACTGGGTCTACATAGAGGGAATCTTGTGGTGTGTGCAAGCCACTCACAGAAAAGAGTGGGAACCATGCCGTGGGGTGGGTGGAAATGGGGTGGGAGCGACGGTTATGAGTGGAGGTTGGGGGATAGAGTGGTAGAATGGGCTTGGGATCTTCCCAGGTTCATAAGTCATTGATTTCTGGAGTCAGAACTGAGGGCTTATGTGTCTTCAGATGGACACACACTTCGATTCCATCCATTTTGCTGTTCTGTGTTTGCCTGAATCTAGGGTCAGGATTCCATGGATGTCCTCTTCTGTGCCTTCTTCACCAACTGGCTTTGATCTTTCCAGCCAAGGTGAATTCTACAAGAACAAAGAATGCCTATGGACAATTTTGATTTGCAGACCATTAACCCCTTGGCGTTATCCTTGTTCACGTGGCAAAGTTTCCCGAGTCTGTTAGAGTGAGAAGTTTATGTAAATATGAGGAGATTTTAGCAGACTTAAAAGTATACACACACACACAAACACATCTATCACATGTACTGCCCATCTTCTTTTAGCTTAAGTTTTGCTTTCACCCGTGATCTTCCACCTGGAAAGTCTCTTTTCTCTCTGTCCTGTAATTCCTCTGTATTTGCATTACCTGACAGCCTGAACTGGTTTCTGGAGATTCTTTCTGTGTGACTTCCCCCTCTGGCTTCCCTCTCCATTACTCTACCTAATTTTTCCAGGTCTTCACTTACACTTCACTGTTTCTAGAAACCCTGCTAACCCTTGGGAAAGAGACTTCTTTTTTTTTTCCTTTTGGGGTTACACCTGATAATGCTCAGAGGTTACTCCTGGCTCTGCACTCAGGAATTACTCTTGGCATTACTTAAGGAACAATATGGGATGCTGAGGATCGAACCCGGCTGGCTGCATGCAAGGCCAATGCCCTACCCACTGTACCATCACTCTAGCAGTAACTTCTGGGATTTTTTTTTTTTTGGTTTTTTTTTTTTAAGTGATTTGCCTGAACTGTCTTATTCAGGACATGGCTGAGTTTTATCTCTGTCCAGTGCTTGACAATCTGCCTGGCTCAGAGGAGGTTCTTAATCAACCCTTGCTGAATGAATGAAGGTCTCATAACACAATCTAGAGGGTGAGGATACAGACTCTGGAATTGGCCAATCTGCATTTGAATCCTAGTTCTACTGAACTGTGTGTCCTTTAAAAGCCACTTTGGACTGCTTTTAAAGGCCATATTGTCAGTATTGATTACAGAGTGCTTTATGACCATCAAATGAGATCAAACACTTTAAACAGTGTCTAGGGTCTCGTAGTGCTCAAGCACATTAGCAGTAAATAAGCCCCTGGTACCGATTTTGTTGTTCTTGTTTGTTGTTATTGGGCCATACCCATCTATGCTCAGGGCTTACTCCTGATTTTGTGCTTAGGGGTCACTACTGGTAGGGGCTTGGGGTGCCATATATGATGCTGGGGATTGGACCCAGGTTGGCTATGCTACAGGCAAGCACCTGACCCATCATATTATCTGTCTACTGTGAAGATGATAATTTATTTAGTTAGACTGATAACAATTCCCAATTAAAATGTTAACCAAAGAAGTTCAGTTTATTTAAGGAGAGAGATTGGTGAGACCTGACTGGATAAAGGACAGGTGGTGTGCCTACATGCTCTGCAAAAGGGCCTTTGCTGCTCTTTCTCTCATCCTCTTTCCAGAGTAGCAACAAGTTGGGACTGATCAGGAAGATTTGAGGGAGATACATGTATTCTAAGAAAAATGCAAAGTTCAGAAGCATTTCTGTTGTTTAGACTGACTGCACGAGTATTTCTTCTAAACAGCTTAAAGAAGGCTTTAAAGCCATTCATTTGTTATAGACATATGTACATGATTGCAAGACTGTTTGTATCTGGGGTAAGATTCTGAATGCGATCCAATTCCTGTGCATTTCACCTATTTTATCTCAAGTTGGCTGCCTTCTGTGACAGGGTTGTAATTAATATTGTTGTAGAACAGGAGGCTCATTAAATCGGTCTCATTATGGCTGTTCAGATTCTGCAGTTCTGTTCAGAAGGATTCCCTATTATCAGTGCCTGACATATAGTCCTAATCAAGCAGGCCAGTTCTCTTCCATCAAGCACTTTCTCCCAAATGGAAATGGGATTTATTCTTACTTGTACCATTAGTGTAAAAAACATAGCCCCTCCTGACACATGTTAGGCCTCTGTCATGGCGAGGCTCTCTTTGTACGGATATACAAGATGCAGGATCTTATAAGACAAGGTGCTTCCAATGTGTTGGACTGTCCTTTGGCTCATTCTAACTTTTGGATTTAGTGAGAAATTTGGAAAGAAAAAGATACAGCATAATCATAAACTTGTGAAATCTTCTTGTGAGATGAGACTTCAGTAGTCAGCTAATTTTCTAACCAATACAAAATCCCTATCAAGATTCCTTTGCCTAATTGCTTTCATTGACAAAGTGTTTACTTGGTAGTATGGCCACTTTGCCTCTCAAACAGATCCAAGGAAAATCATTTGTGATATTGATTTGAGGTTTATCTCCCATTGAACTTAGTTTTGCCTTCCTGAACTGCACAAACCAAGTTTGGTTACTTTCAAAAAAAGCTTTCTGAGTGTTTGAGATCTCTTTCTCCTTCCCTTTTAAGCAACTCTTTAAACGTTCTAACTTCCCTGTGTAGTTGACAAGATCCTTCATGCTTCTGTTCAATGATTAAAGATGAGACATTTCTAAGCTCTCCGAAGAAGATGAATCCAGAAGGCAATGAATTTGCAGGTGTGGTCGGCCCACCCAAGGGCCTGGAAAAACAGCTGTCCTAATGGGAATGGGGCTTCTGGAATTTTCTGTGGAGGAATGCATG